TGAACCCATGTGTAATATTATTATATTATAAAAGTTCATGTCCGCATCAATAATTGATAATATGCATATTATCATACATATAAAATTTCATGTCCACGGCAGCAATTAATAATATACGTATTCAGATATTATATAGTATATAATATTTAAGGGAAAAGTTTATATAAGGTTGCAACCTTAAAATGTAGAATCACATGTGCACCTAAAAAATCTGTCGGAAATGTTGTTTTACGTGGAGGTGTATGAATATGAAAAAAAAAAAAGTTTGAGTCTTGGAAATAATGCATCTTGCAATACATTATCTAGATCGTATTTTCAAGAATTTTCATATATTTATAGATGTACTTGATTTTAACTATTTTTGGAATTTAAAATTTTATGAAAATATATTTTAAGTTAATATTAAGATTTTTTAATAACAAAATTACATGTTATGATAAAATTTTAAGGTGCGCCTTGATTGGATTGTTTAAGGTTGACACCCTTATAGAAATCGCACCCAATATATAATTCTATGGAACCATGTTATATAATATATTATTATATAATATGATATAAAAGAAAGATTATTACATATTATCGATTTAATATATAGTAAATAGAAAAATTATTAGAAATATACTTTAATTTCTATCTAATTGGAAAAAAAACTCTCAACTTTCATAAATCTTATCCATACAAATTTTTTTTTCAATTTTGATAATTTTTTTTTTACCAAAATAGCTTTAACAGTAGTCGTATTACCGTGAATGCTTTATTATAAACTACCATAATGCGGTAGTCATTACGGTAAATTGACTACCATGAAGGCTATTTTGGTAAAAGAAATGTCAAAATTGAAGAAAAAAAAGGTATAGATGAGGTTTATGAAAGTTGAGAGTTTTTTTTTAATTAAACGAAAATTAAAGTATAGCTATGATAATTTTCCTGTTAAATACTATATAATAATTACATATTATAGAAATATATTATTATCTTATATTAGTAAAAAAGAAGATAAAAATCATAATATAATATAATATAATGTAATTAAATGAAAAATTCAAAATTTTTAAAAAATAATGAAAAATTTAAAAAATAAAAAGTCATAAAAAAACGAAATGATTATATTATATAACATGGTTATTATATAACATATTCGGAATTATATAATATTAATATAGAATTATGTTGAACTATGTTATATAATATATTATTATATAATATAATATAAAAGAAATATTATTACATATTGTTCAATATATATATCATATATTATATAGTACATAGTATATATTATATAGTGTATATTATATATTATATATTAAATTATGTGCTAACTGTAAAAAAATAAAATAAAAAAATCACAATGTGCTCTTGGATAAAAATCAAACTAAGGTATTTTTTTTCCCTAAGAGATGATCAAAATTCAGCTCTCTCTCTCTCTCTATCTCTCTCTCTCTCTCTTTCAAAAGAATATATTTACTTCATTAATATATCAACAGTACATAACAAAACGAAAAAGGAAAAGAAAAAAAATTAAAGGAAAAGATCTTCAGAAATCAGCAATTTATCTATCAAAATCCCTAAATTAGCAAAAGACCATTCGCCATCGTATTTGTTTCCCTGTGGACATGCTGAAAATATATTGATATTTGACCCGTAATGTCCATTACTTCCATCCACTTACTTCTTAAATTTCATGGTGTACTAGATTCTTTCAAACACCGATTAATAATGTTCATAAATCTCCTTCAATTATACAGAGTTGGGTCCGAAAATGTTGAAATAGAATACCTTGGAGCACAGTCTCCATTTATGCAACATTTGCAGTCGCCACCCTGTATGGACCACCGTAGTATCAAAGTACTTCTCTATATGAATTTCTAATCACCCTCTGAAAACCAGCTGCACCCGAATTACCATGTAAGCTCCTATCAAAGTTCAACTTGATTGTACCCTGCACCGGTGGACACCAAATATATCTTGGTCAAACCTTGATTGACCTTTGGCTTATTAGATTTGTAATATTCACCGACACAACTGTCTCCGAGATCCCAAAACCCTCTGTAGTGATAGAGAACCAACTCCAAATATTATGAGTAATCCTTTTCTTCACCACATCCAACTCCATTGTTTTACCTTCAAAAACTCTATTATTTCTTTTCTTTCATATCTCCCAAATCTTATCTGCGTATATGGCAGGTTGTTTTCTATGGAAAAAGCTTACTGTATGATCAAATTTAGAATGTATTGTTTTTTGTTTAATCCAGAAGTTTTCGACTGCCATCTGCACATCATTTGGATTTTATAGAAAGAATGATATTTCCATCATTTTATTGCGAGCCATCACTTCAGTCTTGATGATCACTTGGTTTTGTATCCTACAAATTTGTTTCAATACAACTAGTTTGAAAAATAATTTTTATAGGATGTTTTTTGAGAAGGTGATAACTTGTATACCTTTCTAATGAAAAGAATAGCCTGCTTTTAGTCATTGAAAATCCCCGGAGTCTAACTTATATAGTCTCTTTCAAAAGTATAATTTCCTATGTAATTTCAAATAGAATCAAATAACGGGCACGTACTTCTGCTAGTGATTCTAATCTGTAAACCCTAAACCATAATCTAAACCCATATGAAGCTGATCCATGTTCTGTATCGCTATATAATGTATTATTTTCCCATAAATTATTTGTTATCCTATCCGGTGAAAATTGTTGTAAGCTTGTGAAGGACATACAGATATCTCGGGTCCACCCACAAAAGTATCACTTAGTGAAGCAAAAATTCGTCAGGTCAGGCCTACTTATTCAATTAATCCGATCTTTTCTATATATATATATATATATATATATATAATAAAAAAAGATGGGATTAGTCCACTAGCTCATATGAATATATGAACCCAACGGTCTAGATTGAATTTAAGCCGATCTGATGATTACGAATATCCGGTAGTGTTTGAATTTTATTATTTTTTCTACAGATCCAAATCACTTGAAATTTTAAAAGCGTGATCTTCTCATCAAGACGTACCTAATAAGAACATATAAAAAAAATTATTCATAAAAAAAAAAGACCACAATACTCCCTAAAACTTTTCGGAGGTATTTTAGTCAATTTATTTTATGTAAAATATTTTTTGGATATTTTTTGAAGATTCAACTATTTTTGATGAAACACACCTAACGTTTTAACTGATTTGAATTTGTAGAAAAAAAAAAACTAAAATTCAAACACTACCAGACATCTGTTATCGTTAGATCAGTCTATAATCAATCTGGGACATTGGCTTCATATGTTCATATGAGCTAGTGGGTTAATCCCATCTTTTCTTTTATATATATATATATTTAATTTTATTAGATCAAAAGGTTAATACAACAAATGCAACATTAAAGCAAAACATGAGAGATTGCTAAGGAATCATGATATGCCCTTTCTTTGCTAGTTCACCAGCCATATAATTAGCTTCTCAAATTATGTTTCACAAATTATAGAATCTGTATACCCAGGATTTGATGGATGCAAATTATAGAATCTGTATACCCAGGATTTGATGGATGCATGACTGCTAATGCTAGGTCCCAAACCACCTTGGATGATTTTAGTTTGAGAGACAGAAGTGACGATTGTGACTTTACTATTGTTATAATCCTATGGGCCACCGTATTTTCTCTAAATGCTAAGTCTTCATCCCTGTTTTTTTGGATAGTTGAGCAGTAGGAATCGAACTTGCGATGTAGCGTTGTTAACGTTAAATCCTCGCACCAATAGGAAAAAACCCTCAAATTTCATATTGAAAAAAGCTTAAAAGGAGAATTTCAGTCATATTATAGCCTCAGGCCCCACTCTTTTTCCATTTGCTAAAAAATCCATGTATATGTGCTCTACGACCTTGATATTCATGCGTCATAGGAAAATGCCTAAAAAAATAAGGGTATGTATAGGTGATAGTTAATGAGCAGACTTGTCTTAAATAAAATTAATGTACTCTATATAATATTATTTTGTTGACTATTTGGTACATGTCCTATATTATATATAATAACGTTTTCAATGATTTTTAGTTATTTTTCAGTTATTTCTAGCTAAAAACATGTGATTTTTAGTAAATT